TTCTTCAGACATCCGCTAGTCGATCCTAGGAGTTCCTAGGGGAACATCATACCCACAGCCTCCTCGGCCGAGGGAGATCATCATGTAGACTTAGAAAGAAGAGCGTAAGGTCGCAAAACCCAAGCTAGGGAATAGAGAACATATATTTAATGTCATAGCTGTGTGCGTATTTTCTTGTATATAGCGTTGTATTATGGATTTTATGAAGATATAAAGGGGGTCACGGTGGCTAAGTGGGTAACACACTGGCTCGCTAGCCTGGAGGTCGGGTGTTCTATCAATGCATTGGCCAAGAAATTTAATTCAGATTTTTCGGCGTGGTTCCCCCTTGTCAGTGAATCAGGGCGGAGGGCCTGATAAGGACAGCTGTCTAGTCGTTCGGATGGGACGAAAAACCGAGGGCCCGTGTACCCATTGGCGTGCATGTAAAAGATCCCTTGACAGTTGGAATTCGATATAAGAGTAGGCCGTAGTGCCACTGTCCGGGCAAAATTTTCCTCATAGCACACTGTATGACATACGCCCGTCCTTATATTAGCCCAGTCGATGCAGCAAAGTTGGACGTTAAACCCTATTTCATTTCAGACATGTAAGATATTAAACCCAATTTCATTTCATTTCTGTTGGGGTAGTATTTGGGACTATCAAACAATAGAATACTTTTACTTACCCATGGCTAACATGAATTCATCCCAGTTATCATTTTTCTCCAATTTCCAGTTGCCAAGTAATTTTCCCATGTTGTCAGTAGTACGTTCAGCGAGAATTCCTTTAAACAGCTTGCTATGACGAAACACCGAATCGTATAACTAGTTCTTAACCCGTCTCCTCGATTAAAAAATGTTTGAACAAATTACGCAAAAGGTTAAAGTTCAAAGTTCAATAACTGATCACTAATAATATCGTGTCAGTATTTTATAGTTAGTCAATAAAAATTTAACGAGTCAGCGTAATATGGATGTGAAGTGTTCGCGTTTGAAGGTTTGGCGTTGGTTGAAAATCAGACAAAAGCCTATACGGTCTATCAAGGTCGTTTCAACTCTACACGGACAGTTAGTTATATAGTAAACCGTACTGTTCAATGGGTTACACTGTAGCTCCTTGCTTAACGGATATGTCACTAAGATGTATACTATTATAAGAAACTGCTGAGAAAATCATATATATATATATATATATATATATATTGTATACTATATAATAAGCCCTCTTTCAATGTATGATCGAAGGGCTTTAGGTTTGTCGTTCGTCTTCGTTGATAAGTAGCCTATATTATGTCATATAACACACTTGATGAAGCTCAAAGTCCGTTCGTTCGTTCGTTCGTTCCTTGAGTTTTACGTCCACTTCCACCAAGGGTGATATCGTAGACAAGGTTCAAAGTTCACTATTTGATCAGTTTCAATATCGCGGTCAGTATTTTATCATTAGTTAATCAAAACCTCACTCAAACGAACACCGATATAAATAAATTTATTACTATCGCTAAATTATATCTATGAGCTGCTTATATCGCCAATAGTATCAAATGATTAGTTGATTAATTCACAATGCACTACTTAACGACCAGCTCCCTCTGTGACAACTGGATATACATCACTTAGCGATTAGCATTGATATACCTCCTAACTCGAAATAAATGATTCGAGTTTCTGTCTTTTTATACAGCGACTGACCAACCGAGTTTATGATATCGATTCAAGCCAATGACATTGTATACAGCGAATGGCCAATTGATTTAAATCTATGTTATGTTATTACTATAGCGACATGCGTTACACTTACATAATGTATGCTACACGTACTGACTGATCCTGTCACAGTTTATTACTGTTATAAATAATACAGTGAAACTCAAGGCTACGGTGGCTGATTGGTATCATGTCACGATGTCGCGACCTTCTTAAAGCGACAACACGACATCACGACATTTTAACCCGACAATACGTCATTTTCACCCGAAAACCCGACATTAAAAATAGCATAATGTCGCGCAAAAAGTCGTGATGCCGGGTGGTCGCCTTTCCAGAACAATGGTAGAAATGACCATGCCCAATTCAGTATTAGGATTATGTACACTGAACCCGGTGTTGGTCAAGAATCCTGTGTACACATTGGCGTGTACATAAACGAAGCTTTAAAATTTCCCAATGTCGCGTAAAAAATGTCGTATTGTCGGGATAAAATGTCATGATGTTGTCGGGGTAAAATGTCGTGTTTTCGGATGAACATCGATATGACTACATGATACCAATCAGCCACCATACATGACCTTTTTATTATAACACAAAAATACTCGCGACACTCAAGGGAACTTGTTATAACGTTTATCGTTGTTTTTGGTACGATTGGATACCTGTGATGTGTTGCAAACTGATTTAACCATAAAGTTTCTTGAAAATGAAATATAAAAGACACTGTAACATATACAATTCAAGCGTTCTATATTTTAACCCCATCAATACTAATTTAAGATGATAAAATAGAAAACAAGTTCTTTATGTATGGTTTAATGGTTTAAGGTTGGGACGTAAATATTGATATTGCAGGAGGACGATTATCGTAATGTTACAGTACAAAATCTCACGCTCCTATACTTAAATCGCATTCATCTCAGTATTCATGTGTGGTAATTGTTCGAGGGTGTGTACATAGCGGCGGACTTCGAGGGTGAGTGTTGTAAAGGATATATTAAGAACTAAATTTTCCGAACCCATAAAGACCAGCATATTTCATGTAATGTGCTAGCGACGTATCTACCACATTCAATACTTCTTTTGTTTGCACCTCGATATCAAATGCCCTGGCACTCGGGTAACCAGACTGGAGAATCTGGAACCGAAACCGCGAGCACCTTGTTAGCTATTCACCTCCATACACAATCGGGTAACAAAATCTGGATAGACGGTGTTACGAAACGAGTTATAAATTTGATTTTGGATACACAAATATAGTATCTTTATACTACATTCTCTTAGTCACCGGTTAATCTATCCAAGGTCAGCGTTGAAAATGTAGGACATGCTAAAGTCCAATTCAATGAATGAAAAAGAAAAGCACATTTAGATTGGGCCACTGGCCGAACACTGCTATTACCGACCGGGAATCTTTGTCTAGTATTCTATCTTATACTTATTGTCTTGGCAGATACTCAAATAGATGTTCCGATAATGAATACTATATCGACCAATCATCATCTTAGCTAACCACTTGATTGCATCACGATTCTACCCACAACAGGCCGGATACCGGGGGATGAAAAAGCTGAACTCCATATTTTGCACAATCGTGCACACCCTATGACTACCAGTACCAATCTGTTTCACAGAGAATTATGAGTCTCGTATAATATCTCTGTCATAGATGACTGCCTTAACACGTGCTGTCACAGCACGCGGTGTGAATCATTGGCTGAATGGCGCGTGCATTGTTTACATAAGACATAACTGCTTCGGAGAGAATGCTGCATTTTAGTCAATTTAATACCCATTTACACTAAATCGGAAATAATTTTTACCTACAAATACGTCAAACGCCTTTATTTATTTTTCCAATATATACAAAAAATGTTTTAGAATTTAATTTGTCGCAGTAAAAAATTTAATATTTCTAGCTCATTAAGCCGCATCAATGTCATCCTTATCAGTGATTGTCGCGGCCAAGCAAATATTCACTGCGGATCAGTGTGTACCAGTACTAGTATTCTACTCTAGTAACACTGGTACGTACATTGTATGACAATAATATATATCATCATGGTGAAGCAATCAGGGTTCAAAGTTCAAATAAATAACAAATATGACATGTTTAAAATTCAGGGCAGATCAGGTCCAAAAGAAATACAAAGTAAAATGTATAATCAGTTGCTATGGACGAGTTTGTGCTTAGGGGATTTCCAACCGAATGCACATATAACAGTTCCACATGTACATTGGATGTTGGTCGATAAATACTGCCCAGTTTTAAAACGTGGTAAATAGCTGGTAATTGATATCTGTTAAAATCACCGGTGTAACAATAGTACTGTGGGGGAGGGGGTGCATTATTGTCTGGGAGATGTTAATAATTACACTTATAAATAGCTTGGCTGTATAATCGGTGATAACTGGGTGATCAAGACCCCAAAGTTCTCTGTTAATATGTAACATCTAAAGGGGATCGTGTTTGAAATAGTGTATACTTACCATTTCTATCAGTTCTAAGACAATTTAATGCTTTTACAATGATTTGTGAAGTCACGTGACATTTCCCTACCCAACTTTGAAGTACGAAAAGGATGAACAATCTCATTGCTGTTCTTACATCTGACAAACAACAACTCTGACACGTGTTTCTTCGTTTTGAGTTTTGCAAGGCGAGCATCCCACTACACACTTCTAACTTTTGAAATGTTATACTTATATATGGTATTATATACATTTCTGACCTCGTTCTACGCCTTTCATAATACAACTTTCTAACACATTAATAATTGTTACCTGTTCAAAGCCCTCCAATCATTCCCCAAGTCCTACAAAAAACGAAATTGGCTACCTATCAAGTCCCGTATTAAGTTCAGGAGTTGACCGTTACCGTTTTGTCCCGTAATAATTCTGAATCACCCGTTTACCAATGTGAACTTATAGAAATTTCAGATCGCAAGACCCAAATCGTTTAACTCCTTTATAGCTAATATCACACGCTGTGCCATATTTATTAAATGACATGTCTCAGCTTGTAGGATTGCTAATTTTAAACGCCAACTTAATATTAACTTTAAAATGTTTTTTTTTTTAAAAGTGTGCAGATTTGTGTTTTATCGATATCTACTTTCGTATCACTCCATATATGTGCAATTTATCTTCAAATTTATCTCTATTTGTATGGTACGATATCCTATGTCGCCATCTTGAAAGCGCATTAAAGCCCCCGTGTGCTTGATTTCGCTACCCTATATAAATGAATAAATTATTATCATTATTTTTTTTGTATATTGAAAGGTATATCTATATTGGTCTTACCTGAGTTTTTATGAATTTAATGAATCCTTCACTCCTTCTTCACTGTCTTCTGTGGTTTATAATACCAATATGCAAGCTTATTTGTTATCAGTTCATTGAGTATATCAAACTATAAATTGTTATCAGTTATAGTAGAAGTTCGTCTAGAGGTCAGATTTGTCACGAAATTAACTTAAACATAATCTTCCGGCGACACTACAGAATTTTCTAAAAACTGAAAGGAGGGGAAACATAATTCATCTAAAAAAGACAATTTTAAAATGTTAATCAATAGATATAAATATATCATATGTTAAAGAAAACCTTAAATATACATTATGGGAGATTAGCTAAAGAGCTGGTAGTTCTCACTATAATAGTTAAAAACTAGATAATGTAAAGGCAATTTGCTGAAAATTTCAGTCAAATTGATCAACTCTGAACCGAGAATTTAGCGATTGAATTTTCGGCCTAGCCTCGATTATCATTACTAAAGTCGGTACGATAAAAACATAGTCTCGATCATCCATTTCATGATTAAATCATGAATGAAAGTTGGGCAGCAAATCGGATCCTAATCCAGTAAATATCGCAGGCTAGAGACGACATCGATAGTTGATTATGGTCTGGATAAGTTAATTAATGTCTAATTAATAATTTAGATAACATTTCAAGCCATAAAGAAAGACCTGCAATTGGCAGATTTAACTCTTGCATAATGTATGTTTAATTTACCTAGTTATGCAAAAATACTGCAATGAAATAAAATAGGGTTTACTTCGTATATTTTTACATCAACCGGCTGATGAAGAAGGATCTTAAAAGGGTTCTTTTATGTACACGGCAGCGGATTCACGGGACCTCAGGTGTTTGTCCCACCCGAACGGCTGGACATAGTTATTGCATAGCTGACAAGGACAAACCACGCAGGAAAATCGAATTATATGTCGAATTATTTTATGAAAAACTAAAAATTTTGTATTATCAATAAGGTCGTGGATTATGTTTACAAATTGTTCACAGATTTATAACTGGCGTAGACGTTGCTCTAGGTGTTTTAATTTATCTTGCCTCACCTACTTCAAATCCTAATCTAGAAACCAGTCAATATTAGCTTTAAGATCTTCGTGATCACAATGTACAAAATTTCGTTTGATTTATTAATTTACGTTTCGAAAATACTTTATTCGATTCTAGACCAAGTCGTATTCATAATAAAAAATCGAGGTGGCCCGTATCCCCCCCCCCTCCCCCCAACAAAAATGAAATCCACTAAGTATTAAACTCAAAATAAACGTTGAAGTAAATAGCGAAAGGTAGGGTGGTCCATCAAAGCATTACCCTATTGTCTGCCCTTGTATTTGTTTTTCGAGTAGAAAAGGACACAGGTCCATACATTGTTTCGTGCCGAATTATCTGCAGAGGATACTGCGGGTCATATGTCCGTCGTCATTACGCTGGTTGACTCAGAAAAGTAGGGCGTTAAACCTAATTTTATTTCATTTCATTATTTTTGTACAAAATACGAGTACATAAAGAAAGCTGATAAATCGACAAAAAAAACCATAAATATATAACAGTAATAGTAGTCTGAACCCTTAAAGTATTCACATTAACCTTTCCCTGGTTATCTTCCCCTGTAATGGTTATTGTATTTATCGTTAAAAATAGCATGACGGGGGGCCTGACAAGGACAGATGAATAGTCGTTCGGATGGCCCGAAAACACGAGGTCCTGTGTATACATTGGCGTGCACGTAAAAGATCCCTTGGCAGTTGGAATTCGATGTAAGAGTAGACCGTCGTGCCGCTGTCTGGGCCAAATGTCCCCCTCATAACACACTCTATGGCGTATGCCCGTCTTCATTAGCTCAATCGGAACAGAACAATCGGACGTTAAACCCCATTTCATTTCATTTCATTCCATTTCGTTAAAAATAGAAACATTGAAAAGTAAGACGGTAGTCTGATGCCTTATAGTATTCGCATCGGCGTTATCTGGTTATTCCCCCTTTATTGATTATTCCTGTTTTTTTATTGTATAAAATCACGCCAAGTTTGTAATTATATCAATAACAGTGCTAATTGTTTATTTATACTTACTGCCAAAACAACGTCCAAGTTGCATGTCAATAACAAAAAGAAAAACAAAAAGATATATTTAGAAACATTGCGTGTACGGAGGGTTGATCTTCAGGAGTGTTGGACCACATGCATTGGTAACCGGTTAGCGCTCTGGTATATATATATTCCTGTCTGGGCTCATTGAATCTGAATGTTAGGGTACAACTTAAACATACATTATGCACGAGGTAAATCTGCCAATTGCAGGTCTTTCTTTAGGCCTGAAATGTTATCTAAATTATTAATTAGATATTCATTAAGTTATCCAGACCATAATTAACTCTCAATGGCATCGATAGCCTGTGATATTTACTGGATTAGAATCCGGTCTGCTGTTTGTGATTAAAAAAAGAACATGAATAATCGAGACTATGTTTTTATCGTACCGACTTTAGTAATGATGATCGGGGCTAGGCCCAAAATTCAATCGCTAAATACTCGTTTCAGGGTGAACCAATTTGACTCAAATATTCAGCAAAGTTCCTTTACAATATCTAGTTTTTAACTAGTATAGCGAGACCTACCAGCTCTATATCTAATCTCCCATAATGTATCTTTAAAAGAAAAATCAATGATATTTGTTTTATGTAGGACTCACAGCAAGTCACTTTTTCCTTTTACATATACATATTAATTCTTGTATTTATGAGAGAGGTCATATAGGCTATGCCCGTTCCTCAATTCCTTTCAATTTCTGAATAAAATATTGTTTATGAAAAAGAAAAGTCACATGCTGGGTTTCAGTGGATAAAATATTTTAGCAATATTAAAACAAAAATATGGTGTGTAAAACAATAAGCAAATGTCCCATTCAAAAATGTATGTACGACTCTGAATTTTGGTTATGTTCCGTTCCCTATTGGATTAACTGAACATTCACAGAAATTTTGAAAACCTCTGAGATGTAGGTTTATCAGTATTATAGCGTAAAATATCGAAATTATATTTTACTATAATTCATCTCGACCATTTCATATACCTTTTTCTTGACACAAGAGTTTTCTTTTCTTATTTTTGGCAAAGGAAATTATTGGCATTAAACAGGTGATTCTATCTGTCAGGTACCATTGGCGCGATTTGTCTTTCTACCAGGCAGGCCTAAGTACCAAATGAGAAGGGTTTATTTAGTATTTCGAAATTACAGACGCATGTGTAGCGAACATGGAAGCGAAACCACATTGCTTACCAAATCCGACGTGTAGCACCATTCCTACTACACATACTTTGTTGTGGCCAATGATCGTCTGGGTATATCCGTAGCAATCAAAATTGCGATATGTTTGTCACAAATTGGTAATTGAAATTAAACCCCGATCCATTTCCTATATGCACACATACCTAGTTACTTCAGTTGGTCACTTTTACATGATTTTGAGTCAACTGATAAACCTGTGAAAAAAAGGCCGGATATTTTCGAATGCAAATAAATGAAATGATATGGAGTTTTTTGGCACGTCACGTTAACTCCAATCGGTTATATTGCGCCAACCATATTAGTAATTATGAGACAAATTAAACAACTATCACATTCCATGCTAACAAACATTCACTAGGCTAGGAATGAGTGGGATAATATAACGTACATACAGGCGCCATATAAGTACTCTTGTGTTTCACACCGTAATTTAACATGGTGGATTTTATAAAATAATTAATATCATTTATGAACATCTTATCTTAATTCATATGTTCTGTGTGAACTTGTCGTATCTATGTTTTATGTCGAGTAGTTACATAGTTATTTACATTATACTTTTACGGTAGTTGTTATATTAAAGGGAAATGAAATGAAACTGTTCTGCTCCTATACTGGGATAATGAAGATGGGCATACGCCATACAGTGTGCTATGAGGGAAATGTTGCCCGGGCTGCGGCACTATGGCCTACTCTTATATGGATTTTCAAGTGGCAAGGGATCTGTTACGTACACGCCAATGTATACACCGGGCCTCGGTTTTTCGTCCCATCCGAACGAGTAGACAGCTGTCCTTGTCAGGCCCCCGTCTTACCCACTTTAGCCACCGTGGCCCCTCGTATTAAAGGTATAGCGGTGCTGAGGTGGTAGTAAATAAGAGTTAGTATACGTACGCTTCCACCGGAGTGATATCTGGAGAGACCAACAATCTCATACCGTTATTCCTTTTCTTGGCGTACCGTTGTCGGCTTTCAGGGTTATTAGCCGTGGAATCCTTTAACGCTCTGATACTTTTGTGGACTTTCAGTCTGGGGACGCATACATATTTCTCCGTCGGAGTATGTCACTTGGAATGGTAGGCGTCGAGGACTAGGGCCTGGGAAACCATGTCACTCGCCGTATTTGCATAATCTTCCCTGGAATACCGAACACGTCAGTTATAATTTCAGGTTCGCACTGTCAATTAATCATGTTCTGATACTAATCGCCAAGTTGTCGACTAATCGTTGGACACGACTTACTGGGTCCATGGTTCCATACTGTAGACTGGTAAACAGCGGTACTTTGGGATAGGGAGGTTGGATGGCCGAATGGTTAGCATGCGCTGTATCATAGGTCTGTCATTGAGTCAACTGGCGGGGTTTCGATTCCCCGGTTGTACGTGACAAGGAGTAGGGTCGCCTGTCCAACCTCGTGGGTTTTCTCCGGGTCCTCCGGTTTCCTCCCACTGCTAGAGACCCCTACGCGCAAGCGAATTATTGAAATAAAATTAAACCATATGTTAGTCCTGAAATGACCTTGTTTGTGTCGAGTGGACGTTAAACCCCATTTTTCTCTCTCTCTCGCTTAGTGGAAAGCGGCTGAATCCCCACCGTGTCTTTGCCGTTAAACAAATTCAAGAGGTTTCAGAACCCATGTGCTATCCAACTCATTGATTCCGCAACAACTGTGCTTAGTGGAACGCGTCTGAATTCCCACTGTGTCCTTGCCGTTAAACAAATTCAAGAGGTTTCGGAACCCATGTGCTATCTAACTCATTGATTCGTCAACAAGTGTCCTTAGTAGAAAGCTTACGAATCGCCAGCGTGGAACACTTTAACGTTGAACACGCCCAAATGATTTGTCAGCACCTATTTGCCAACCAACTGATTCCCCTACACGCAAGCCAATTATTGAAATAAAATTGAACCATGTTTTAGTCCCGAAATGACCTAGTTTGTGTCGAGTGGACGTTAAACCCCATCCCCCCCACCTTTAGGATAACTATTATACTACTGTCTCTTTAAAACATCTACAACACAACTTCTATGCCACGATTTCTCTCTTTAAAACAACTGTTATACTACTGTCTATTTTAGACAACTGATTACTTTTCTACTTGAAAAATCAATAAAACACGAAATGTGTTGACAACGTGAACTTACCAGGAGTTTAAAATAAATCTTCCTTAATGATAAAACGTCACGATAAACTTAAGAACAGGGGTAGACGCAATTTAGTTGTAACAGTTTCCATGCTTAGTATCTATAGAAAAGGATGGTTTAAACACACAGCTTGTGGAGATACGAAATTGGCTTAAAGTGGTTTATATATTCTTGGTGCGATTTAATTTCCGTGTCCAGAGTGAGAGTCAATGAGAATATCCCGTATTAGTCAACGGAATAGGGTTGCCTGGATATGACTGAAGAATAGGACTTTACGTATGGTGATATTAATCCAGAGTTATATATTCAACAAAATTAGTGAACGTACAGGGGTAGTAACATCGATCCTGTATCTGGTCGTTCGTTCGTTTCTAGAGTTTTACGTCCACTTCCACCTAAGGTGATATCGTAGACAATATATCTGGTCAATCTAGACTTATGTTAATAGTTTACGTGAATCTATTTAAAATGGATACACCGCACCAATCAACGTCATTATATTGTTCAAACTTAGATATCTGAAATAAACTTCAAGTCAATTAAATTTGGATTGTTTCAGTTTATTGTAGCAATTTCTAGAATTTGGTTCCAAAGGGATATCCGGTAACCGCAGGCGGCGTTCAAGAATGGTCACATTGTAGATTATGGTAGTATGGTAGAATTGTGTCAGTCTAACTCATTTCGAACATATGTGTGGTCCCCTTTAACCTGTGAAAGTGAAACGAGACGAATGTTTACTAGCACTAAACTGCATATAGTCGAATTCATCCCGGGAATCTGTGTCCATGAGTGTGTGCCGTGAACACGAAACGAATTTTTATACTTCCAGAAGTCAAGACTAGACTTTCCGATTCATTCCAGAATGCGTTGCTGCACCGAATATGTGATATAAATTGGTCTGTATGATGAGGTTATTTCGGAGATCATTGGCATGTAAAAGTGTGCGTTCCATTTTCTAAAATCACTCTTAACAATTTTATCGGTACCTGGATTCTTTAAAATTATTATACTAATTGAAAATGAATCACGGTGTTTTATGGACATATATCCCCGAACACGTGGTTATACAATATATAATTTAAAAGGTTATAGACGCGTACCTGACCTAGTGGGTGGTGATTAACGGCTGTTTGTACGGTAGTAATATCGGGGGTAAGGACAGACGTGTACCGCAATGATTAACGTTTTTATACATTAGGAAAACACGGCAAGTGGGGTTTTACATATGTTGCGTCTATTCCGAAAACCCATTCAGATTTCCGGAATAAAATATTGTTTATATAAAATGTGTACCTGAGTGACTGATGTTTAATACCTACATGTACGGTAGTTATATCGCAGGCAAAGACCGACGTGTACCGCAATGATTAATGTTTTTGTACATTAGAAAACACAGCAAGTGGGTTTACATATATTACGTCTGTTCCTATTCAGATTTCCGGAATAAAATATTGTTTATAAAAATAACTCACGGGAAAACGAATAACTATACAACGTAAATTAGACAAAGAACGTCCAACGTAAATTAGACACAGGAATTTAGACAACGTAAATTAGACAACGGAAAAGTAAATTAGACAACGAACGTCCAACATAAATTAGACAACGTAAATCCAACATAAGCAGTGGAAATTAACACCTATTTTTAAAGGAAATACTAGGAATACGCGAGGGTAAACGATGGAAAGTGAATTAACTGAACTGTTTGTTATCCAACCTGAAAAACTATATGTTCCATCAAGTAATATCTATAAACTGAATCAGGATACTAACACACGAGCGGTAGGTTGAAAGAACACACTATCCAAAGTCAAATTTTACATTCACCTCAACAAAAATCCAATCACTGTCTATTTCATATATTTGATCTTAATTATGTTTTCATTGAATTTGTTTTGAGGGTGAATACTTTTTGTCAATTGTCTGATTGTGTGTTTGGCTTTTTTTAAAATCACGTTCATTAAAACGCATAACTGTCGCCTCCAAATCATGCCTATGCACCAAAACCTGACAGAAAATGTAAATTTAAGCACCCCTCTTCGATTTTAGACCAAAGGCACCAAACTATCAATTAAAATTGCAATACAAAATGGAGAAAAATCTATAATAAATGAATTACATTCATGGGTACCGAAATAAAGGGGAACAATTGCTAATCTTAATCCATAAGCATATTCTCGGAAAACCAATTACTTTCCTTAAGAGTTTTTATTATCATAATCGTTGTCCACTTGAACTTGGTCAGCAATGTCGGGCTTATTTGTGTTGTAGAAAGCAAACAAATGAAATGAGGTTTTCTGCACCGACTAGGCTAATATGCAGTGTGCCATGACTTTAATTTTGCCCGGACAGCGGCGGAACGGCCTACTCCGGCGCTACGACCTGCTCTCAATTCGAATTCCAATCGTCAAGGGTTCTTTTATGTACATGCCCTTGTGTACATGGGATCTTGTTTATTCGTTCCATCCGAACCACTAGACACTGTCCTTACCAAGTCCCCCGTACTGCACCAATGGGACACCGCGCCGGAAAATCCCAAGGAACTTTCTTGGCATACACCGGAAGCGGACCCGAGATCTTGTCTTTAGTGAGCTACCGTGGCTCCCAGACAGAGGGCACATATTGACCAAATAGCCAGATCTTAGTTAAAGTAAATTTGATATTTTATTTATTTCAGAAATTATACCCAGTACAGAATAAAACTACTGACAGCCTTAGTCAAGTTTATCATTCACAGTTAGCAGCCAGTCTGAAAGCTTTTCAAGATAAAAAATGGCGTCCATTAAAAGAGAACCGAATCGAACCAACCGTATTAAGATGTCGACCACAATCATCAGCATCTTCTAAAAGGTAAATTTGAGGACAGCGTTATTGCTATCTACGGTGTTTATAAATAAAAATTACCTCGTAACCACGACTTTTTACGAATAAAGATTACCTCGTAGCCATGTTTTTTACAAATAAAGATTACTTCGTAATCACAGCGCTTACCGCGAGCAAAGATTATCTTGTAAATAATGTATTAAAGATACATTATGTAAGATTTAGACAAAGAGCTAGCCATTTTTGCTATAATAGTTCGAAAACAGATCAGGTAACATAAATAATTTGAAAAGTTCATTCAAATTACTCTATTGCGAGCGAAGATATTAGCAAGATGTGTGCAATAATTTCAATAACCGTACATGTTCTTCGTAGTCCATTTTGAGCTTAAATCAAAATATGGCGGAACTGTTCTAATATATTTAATATCAGAGAAATCAAGAGGCCATTGAGGGTTGATTATGGCCTGGATAAGTTAATTAATGTCTAATTAATAATTTAGAAAACATCTCAGGCCTAAAGAAAGACCTGCAATAGGCAGATTTAGCTCTTGCATAATGTGTGTTTAATGTAAAAAGGTTATATTTCGATTGGTCAGCCCCTTATCTCTAACAATCTCTGTAAGAATTGTGCCTTCCTTATATTGGACGACACAAAATAAAACGGAATGCGATATTTGGGTAACGTCAATTAGACTGAGTGTAATCTGGTAATAAATGGCCACCCGTTTCCGCCATTACACTAATGCTTATGGGTAGACAAGTCAATTATGTTATACTTAATTACCCGCCTAATTACTTTTCGAACACTGACCAGTATAAACTTGCTTGGGGAGATATCATTTCCAGACCAAAACTAAAATCTGTTTTAGAAAGAAATGTTTTTGTTGCATGGTGATATATCACTTGCAGAGCAAAATCTGTTTTAGAAAAAGGTTTTTTTGAAATATAGATACTTGAAATAAGAGTTTAAAACCAATTTAAATCCAATTGATCCGATATGTACGTTTGTTGTTTGTGAGGTCTTTATATTGTGTCTTGTCCGTTGATTTGTCTTGTATAATTGTGTGTGGTGCAGTCCTCCTGCACTTACTATTATGTATAATCCCAGTGTAATATTTATATTATATATTTACAGACCGCAGTCGTCCATATGCAAAGGCATAACATCATCAATGACTCCGACACCGAATCCACCCTCACGCCCTCGCTCTGTTCCGAGTGATAAATTACGACCAACAAGTTCTTACAGACGACCTGAAACACCGGAAGTTAAACCGGGAAAATTTGACACATTAGATCCGGAAATTCTAGCTAAATTGATTGGACGAGAGAGACCCCTGAGTGTTTACGGTGAACGATGCGTCACAGATCAAAGTGACGTAGATGCAAGCGATGATGACGTATGTTCGACCAGTGGTATTGATAGTGATGCTTCTACATTAGAAAATGGCGTCGAACCGGATGTAGATTCGGATCGTAAAGTTCCGGATTTGAATCTTCGACCTGAAACGCTAGACGCTATATATGTCCCAGAAGATCGAAAAGAAAGGAAACGTTATGACTTCGATGCTAATAATGTAGATATTCCTCCTTATGAATTTTCGTGCCCAATTCCGAAACCTTACCAACATTTGGAATTTTCTATCATTGCCAAGCAAGGCTTGAGCTGGCGAAGTTTGACTGAAATGCCCCAATCTAAAAATACAGAAAGATTTTTCGATCGTCTGATTTCCTTAGAAAAAATGCAGCAAGAAACGGTAGAGAGCGAAACTCGAGTCAAAAACCGTCCCCCAAGCAGACGACAACCGGCTTCTCGTACTGGTAGTGCTAAATCACGTGACAAACGGTGTAGTAATTCGTGTTTACAATTAGCGTGCGTCGGTGATTGTCCGGATAAAACGACCAATGACATTTGTAAAACTTGTCTGCAGACATTTTGTAATGGTTCATGTTTGATGTCGTATGAGCAACACATGCGTCAACCAAGAACCGAGGAAACGCCAATGGTAGTTCCCAAGCAAAATCCACGGTGCTGTTCGTCGTGTCTTAAAAAACATACAGCCAAATTCATCAACGCCAATAACACTCTGCTCGGTCGACCACGGTCTGGTAACGCCACGTTCAGCAGGGGGATTAACTACGTCAAACCCAGAGATCTACGTCCGAAATCAGCAGTGGGCATATCATCAACTTCTTTACAGCAATTTGAAGATCTCGGCATAGAACCCTGCCAATCTACAAGTCGCCCATCTACTGCAATGTCAGGTCGCCCGAGAAGTCGCAATGGTTTATTACCGGGTAAATCGTTTTCTTCGAATAGGAAATGCTCCATCACCGATTCTAGGCCAAAATCAACAATTAAGGTTCGTAGTAAATCGGCTACCGTTAGGTTGAGAAATAATGTCACTCCATCCTGAATATCAGTTTTGTATTACCCTATTACAGTAGGTTATTTAGTTGGTGTGTGAAAACCTGTGTTAGAAACACCGTAGAAATATAATTCGTTCGTTCGTTCTTGGTGTTTAACGTCTGCTTCCACATAAGTGATATCGCAGACAAGACATAGGAGAGCCGAAGCTGATTCCAGTTTTTTAGAATATGATTTTGCAATCTTTCCATTTGGCCTTAGGCCATGGATTTGGTTTAGTGGGAAGTTCTTCCCTTTATTTAATACAAAACATATCGTTTGGTAGATGATCTCGTCTGCTTCTGGATTGGTAGATGTCATCGTTTGGGGTTAGTGTTTAGGTGCCAGGCCCGTCTTATATAATCCAGTTGTAACGGTTCTTATCCTATAAACTTGAATGGTGTTTGTGGTGATATACACATTGACAGTGATGATATACATGTCATTTATGGTATCTGTTGCCATGGTGTTTGTGGTATTATGCGCTGATGTACGTTACTGTGGTGTTGGTGGTGATATACATTGACAGTAATGATATACGTTATCATGGCATGGTACTTGTGGTGTTATGCGATGACAGTGATTATTAACGTTACTATGGTGTTTGTTGTGATATACATGGACAGTAATGATATACGTTACCATGGTACTTGTGGTGTTATGCGTTGACAGTAATGATATACGATGTCATGGTGTTTATGGTGATATACATTGACGGTAATGATATACGTTGCCGTGGTACTTGTGGTGTTATGCGTAGACCGTGATTATTAACGTTACTGTGGTATTTGTTGTGATTATATTGGCATGAATGATATACCATGGTGGTTTTAGTTATATATAATGACAGTGATGATATACGTTACCATGGTATGTGTGGTGATATACATGACATTGATAATGTACGTTACCATGGCATTTGTGGTGATATACATGGCAATGATATACGTTAACATTGTTTCTGAAAAAGTATAATTATGGCTCTAGCTACTATATAAAATGACTTTTGTATTGCCGTACCTAAAATGCTGATATGTTTTTTTAAAACCTTATCCTACCCTTTTAATTAGAACGTAACCGTGACTTTTGTGCTAAGGAGCTTCTATATATTTGCACCAAGATATATAAACATTATTGAAGAAGTTTCATTTTCTCTCTTTTCAAAGGTATTTGTGCTGTTAGACGTGAATGCGTGGATGTAGGTCTAATTAAGATTGTGTTTTAAGAAGTAAGCATAGTTTTAAACGGATCAAATCTCATTGATTTAAGTCATAAAAAAAGTATTGAATTGGGTTGATATGTATTTTTTCAGTTAGTGATGGGGCCACCACCAAAAAATTAAATTTTGTTTCGAAAGTAGCCGTGTTTTTTATTGTGTGAAATAAATGTTTATCACCCAAAAACACATTCTACAGTAGATATCGCTTCTGTGATAACTTTCATAATCTACATGAATTGGATTGGTCAATCAAAGGGGAACTACTTTTATATATTAAAAAGGAAATCCTTTTTTTTAAAAAAAAGGGAAATCCTTTTTTTTACCCCCCCCCCCCCCCCCCAAGAACTACCTTTTGGATCTAGTAATATTGTTGAAGACAGGTTCTCAATTACCATAAACAATCACTCTCCATAACCTTAAAGGAAACACCGGGTCAATATATAGGACTTTGCAATGGGTGACTTGCTGTCAAAACATGATGTATCACTACGCCGTAATTGTGTTAATGAGACGTTTAGACCCCAATAATTTAACACAAAGGTCAACAACATGTATAGCTTACAACATTTCCAATATTTGCTCTTTTACCGCAAATTATAACAAAAAGGTTTCAAACAAAACTGGACGAAAGGCAAGAGTCTCTCTCTCTCTCCCTCTCTCTCCCTCACACACACACAATAGAGCAGGCATAGCAAGACGCCTTCGTAGGATTTGATTTATATTCATAGGTTTTTATGGATCTTAGATAGTTTCGACAAATGATTAGCCGTTTTTTGGGGGCAAAATTAATCCCTTTTAGCAAATCAAAACCAGAAAAATGAACTTACTGCGTGATTCCGCAGCTGTTATTGTGCGTCGGGGCTTACAGTCGCGTATGTTTTAGGGGGCAATGACTTTTTATATAAGGAATAAAAAGTTCAGGCTAGCGGGTTCTGATCGCAATGGACAAAATACCCAATTAATAGGTAATATTTAAACAAATCTGACACAGTTATATGGGGGGGGGGGGCAGGCAACCCAATTCCTTGTCACGTACAACTGGGGATTCGAAACCACGCCAGTTGACTCATTGACAGGTCTTATGATACAGCGCGCACGTACTAACCATTCGCCCCCCCCCCCCACCCAGTTATATGGGACAACAATCACTGGTTTCGTATACACAAGTTTCGATAAGTATCCTCTTGTATCAAGCACAATGGCATTTAGTAAAATGAAATGAAATGAAATGGGTTTTAACGTCCCACTGTTGTACTCCGGTTGCTCTAATGAAGACGGGCATACGCCATACACTGTACTATGAGGGAGACTTTGCTCGAGTTCCATCTGCCAAGGGGTCTTTTACGTCCACGCCAAGATGTATACGGGACCTCGGTTTTTCGTCCCATCCGAACGACTAGACAGCTGTACTTGTCAGGTCTTACTCACTTAGCCACCGTGGCGCCATACCGTCTAACGAAGTTCAAAGTCTTATTTTGCTATAAAGTCCATGTTTAATTTTCATTATGGCAGGTTGGAACTTTTAAATATTCAATTTAAAGATCCACAAAAGACAATGACCTATAATTTCTTAAAAATGAATTTAATATGATTAATTTAGAACTACACTGTCACAACTGGGGTACTTAAGTATATACAATGAACATTACATACATTATGTTGCCTGGCAACGAATATACCTCCATCAACAACAATTTGAAGGTTGCGTTTTTGGGGCCAGCGGCAATAACTAAGCATATAATGGATGGTACAAGGTCCCAATGATTCGCTGACGACAACGATTACTCTTAAATTATAGAAGGGTGACGATGGCTTCCCTCGGCCCATACTCCACCGAACTTTTCCAGGAAAAACCTCTTAAACTTAAACTTATGACATAATGATATTAAGAAGCTCTAACAACGGAATGATAAGGTTTCATTGAAATGATCATGAAGTGTGCAAAGGTGCCGATATCAGATGGAATCGTATTTGTGACAGTGTGTTACGTTCTTTAAAATGGTTCATCTGCAGGATATTCTGGATGGCCTATGCCCCTGGAAAAGAATAAAAGATAAAAAATTCATGTCCTGATACTTTCTTAAACATACATTATACAAGAGCTAAATCTGCCTATTGCAGGTCTTTCGCAAGGCCTGAAATGTTATACAAACTATTAATTAGATTTTTTAACATGACAAAACCATAATCAACTCTCGATGCCATCAGATTAGAACGATTCAGCCATATTTTGATTTAATCTAAAAGTGGTGAAGCGAGACTAAGCTTCGATCAACCAGCGCAATGGAGGTAATTAATTCACACATCGTGTCAAACCTTCAAACGCTAATATCTTCACTCGCAATGGAGCAATTTGAGTAAAATGTTCAATAAATCCATTTTGCATGATCTATTTTCGAACTATTATAGTGGGAATGGTCAGCTCTTAGTCTAAATCTTACATAATGTATCTTTAATAAATGCATTTGAGGAAGTAAAGACTATATTTAATGCCAGAGTGTTCATCTGTAATTCGCATATATAATGCACAATAACAATATAGGGTCATATAGGATACATCACTTTTAAACATTTCTTAGATAACTCTTTGTCAAGGGTGGTAATTAGATTTCTACTTACACCTCCATCGTGAAGTATCGGTGATCTTTGTTAAGACCATTAATCTGATCAATCTCACTATCACTTAAATAAAAGTCAAAAATCTGGAAATAGAGGAAAGGGAAAACTAGAATTAATATTCAAACATTTTAAAGTCGTGTAGCGAGTGTTGTTGAGTGTTTGTGGGTACGAGGGATTGCAATTCCAGAACGCCCCCCCCCCCCATATTATCTTCCATATTTGTTTTTCCTTTAATACACACCCTATAAGCCCCGACTTGCCGGTCCAGAATGTTAAGATTTGACTGAATTGCTATCGAGTGACACGAATTCGGTCACAGTTCTTCTCCCAATCTCCTGCCTTTTTGTAAGATTATAGGAGCAGTTTGAGTCAGTATTGATGACAATATCTGGCAAATCGTATATATATATTGTTGCGAACGATGTATGAGAAATCCCGAAATGGATTCTCAGGCTGGGCCCATAAATAGCAGACTCATGGCTTCGAGTTACGATGGGTGAAAAAAAGAACAAAAACAATGTTGATGGTACGAACTCTGTAGTGCATCTCACATGCTTTATTTTGGACTACATTTATATTATATTGCATGCTTGTATTACTACGCCAATAGGCGTAATTAACCAGTCACTCTTCACAGCTGAAGGGAGTTTATTTCTAACATATATATATACTGTATACAGATCACTTCAGTAATGTTTTATTTATAGCCATGGGAGAGAGAATATCCTTCTGAAAGCATACCCGCTTCTCTAAAAAAAAATATAGCAAGTGCTTTCTGTATGAACCTCCCAGTCCAATAATATAACTTACCTGGATATTTTGTGCAATTCGAGTAGGATTGGCACTTTTCGGTATAACCAGAATATTTCTCTGTGTCAAATACCTCAACAATATCTACAATTGTAAGTATTAAAAAAGTTAGGTGGAGATGAGAGCAGTGCGTTCCTCAGATTTGAGAGAGAGAGAGAGAGAGAGAGAGAGAGAGATTGGGTTTAACGTCCACTCGACACAAACTATGTCATTTCGGGACTAACACATGGTTCAATTTTATTTCAATAATTCGCTTGCGCGTAGGGGTCTTTAGCAGTGGTAGGAAACCGGAGGACCCGGAGAAAACCCACGAGGTTGGACAGGCGACCCTATTCCTTGTCACGTACAATCGGAGAATCGAAACCCCGCCAGTTCACTCAATGATAGACCGTATGATACAGCGCGCAAGTGCAAACCATTCGCCCCCACCCCCTTACATTTGAACTGTTCGCGTCTTTAAATGTCTCCTATAATTCATTGCTCGACTAAACGGGTTATTATTGGCTAATCTAATATGAGAGGGTACATAATACACTTTATTTGAATAATACAAAAAATGTAGCAAAAAGGGATCTGTCTTCTGAACCGGAGATGCTGAACAACGTATTATTTAATTAATTGTCGGTCTTTAAACATTGCTACATTAAAAAAATGAGAAATAAAATAAGGGTTTATGCCATGTTGGATTTGTTACGCCGCAGGGCGCTATTTTAGCCTACTTTGGGTTTCATTTCCGACAACTGCTGATATAACATCGCCCCAAAATTTGATTGGCCAATTAGTTCACGTGAACTGAATGCCGCCATCAATAGAACTAGGTCAGATGTTAATGTAGCACCAGAAATAAAACGGAATGAAATTGACATGTGCATATTGTATTACTTAATTGTAATACCAGAATGATTGCGTCGAGTGGAAGTTGATCCTAATACTGAGCCTCGCCGTTGTTTGTCGCTACCGTCCTGTCAGTAAACTGGGCTTGGCAAATCCTAACGGTTCTGATCAACTGATGTTAGTATCCGAGCTATGTGTAGGTTTAGGATTGTTTTACCTGTCCAGCTGTCTTCTTGTATTTATCTGCTAATTCTTTAATCAATGGTTCTTCTAATAATACAGGTTCAGCATCCTTCTTTCTACAAAATAAATCCTCGATTATACTCTTTCTCTAAATCATTTTCTCAAAATAGTTAAATTACCACAAATGTCTTCATAAAACGTCTATCAAATGTGATTAGACTAACGTCTTTTATAAAAAATATAATTTATAAAATTAATATGTGAGCTGTCTATCATACGAACAATTTAAAGCTATGTATTTCTGAAACATATAATACAGAAATATGTGCTATTTTTGTCCTCTATATTCTGGGGGGTTATTCCATTCCATTAACATCTTAAACCATGGGAACACGTGAATCTTGCCCCCCCCCCCTCACACACACACACACACACACACACTTGCTACAAAACCACGATCCCGAGCGAAGTATATAAATAAAGATGTAACATAATTAAATCGAGTCATTTAATAGCCTAAGTATAATTGTATCATGTCTTCATTAGCACAGTCAGTGTAGAAAAATAGGACGTTAAACCCCATTTCATTTTGTTTTATTGTTTCATGAAAAACCCAGAGTAAACGACATGACAATGTTTGTTATAGAAATGAAAAGGGAGGTAATCGAATATAACGTTATCTCGTGGACTAGCACTACTAATTGTTTCATCTGTTTATAGCAATTCCCTTTTTATCCCCTTGTGCATAGGATTTTGTGTTGACCTTTCGGTCTAGAATCGAAGAAGAGCGTTTTTGAATATCCATTCTTTACCAGGTTTTACAGAAAACATGAATGATTTTGAGGCTGAAGAAACAGGAAGTAAACAAAAATGAATTCCTTTGGCCAGTCTAGAATATAAACCGAAAAGTCAACCACCTTCAATATCTATATCAAATGATTGTCACATTTTGTTTCTGTTTGGCTATACGTATTAAGATGTTCGGAATGTTAAAAAAAATGTTATAAAACAAGAAATGTCATCGTTTTAATATTGATGTCAACGAGAAAAGAATTACTAGTCTTTATAAACCGGGGTAATAATGTACAGCACGTGGAAAATGTCCTCGTTATTATAGTTACTAGCTATCGTTAAATATCTTAAGGATTCATAACTTTATGACGTTTCAAAACTAATGTCTACTTACAAGTAACTTGGTCTTCCAGGGGATCCGAGACTGGCGTAGGACGTCAAGGTTACGTTAAGAGCTTTACAGAAATCCTGTAATCTCTTCTGATTCAAATAGGCGTGACACTCTACCTGAAAGAAAAATAAACGTGAATGAAAATGTGAAATGATGTATGTTTGGTACCTGTGCATTGAGTTAGGCACATTACGTGTCACCTAATATTTATAAACATAGTATATTAGTGCTGTATTGCCTTACATTTGTTTTGGTTTTTTTTTGTTACATTTGGTACCTGATTAGTAATATTTGGTGAATGGATTACACAGTTTAGTTGTTTAGTGACAGGTGTGATTGTAAATGAATTACACGTTTACTTGATTAGTGATTATAATTTTACCTAAAAAGTGACGGGTTTGATATTAAGTGATACTTATATAACCTGTTATGTGGTGGGTGTGATTGTAAATGGATTACACATGTGATGGGTTTAATTGTAAATAAAATACACATTTGGTCGGGTTAGTGGTGGGATAGATTACAAATTACGTTTTACCGAATTGGTGATGTGTTTGATTGTAAATAGGTTATGCATTTGATCTGATTAGAGATGGTGTTGATAGCAAATAGATTACGCATTTTACCTGATTAGAGATGGGGTGTTGATTGCAAATAGATTACGCATTTTACCTGATTAGAGATTGGGTTGATTGTAAATGGATTACACGTGTAACCAAATTAGTCATGGGTTTGAATGTAAATGATTTATGGGGTTAGCAATGTTTTAGCACATGTTTTACGTGATTAGTGACGGGTTTCATTGTAATTGTAAATCATTTACATTGTTTACCAACTTAGTAACGTGTTTGTACATGACTTACATATTTTGTTTGTCATTTTCTCATGGCGTGGGTGTGGTGGGGTGGGGGGGGGATACACGATTTCCAGTTTTTACCTTAATTGATTTCGCGGTTGACAGTTTAAGATTTACATTTTTACCTGATTAGTAACGGGTTTTATCGTGCAAGATTTGCAGATTCTCTCCACTTGTTTGCTGTTAAAATTTGATACACCGATCGATTTGGCTTTCCCTAGAGCAACAGCCCTCTCCATTCCCTGTAAAATATAATTCGATGATTACTTCAACTAATCGTAATTTGTTGAAACAGGACACTTGAGTAGGATTGAAAAATATACATGTACCCAGCATCAAATCCTCGGCTTAACATGTCAATATAATTTTATAAAGGAAAGACAATAAAATGAAATGAAGCATTAAAGATACATTATGGGGGATTAAATAAAGAGCTGGCAGTTCTCACTATAATAGTTGAAAACTAGATATTTAAAGGGAATTTGCTGAAAATTTCAGTCAAACTGATCCACTATGAACCGAGATTTTAGCGATTGAATTTTCGGCCTAGCCTCGGTCATCATTACTAAAGTTGGTTGGATAAAAAACATAGTCTCGATTATCCATTTCATGATTTAATTATGAATGGAAGTCGAACAGCAAATCGGAACCTAATCCAATAAACATCGCTAACTAGCGATGACATCGAACGCTGATTATGGTCTGGATAAGTTAATTAATGTCCAATTAATAATTTAGATAACATTTCAGGCCTAAAGAAAGACCTGCAATAGGCAGATTTAGCTCTTGCATAATTCTAATTAATAATTTAGATAACATTTCAGGCCTAAAGAAAAACCTGCAATAGGCAGATTTAGCTCTTGCATAATGTATGTTTAATAAGGAGAGTGGATGGGTCGTTAATTTGGGGCAATGTGAAGGTAACCCCCACACGTCTAAAAGTAAGAAGACATTGGGGTATAAAATAATAACCAACCTTCCATGTTTCCTCGATGGGAATATTAAGATGAGCAGGTGTTCCATCTTCATTTTCAGGATAAAAACCCTTGCCTGTCTCCTAAAAATATTTTTTTAGATTTTGAATATACATTGAATTTAATATGATACCCTATACTATTTAGAGGGGTGAAAAATTGACCAATATTATTTACGGAAATTTTAACACGGTCTTATCGAACTCTTAAAGGACTTAAATAGCTAATATTTGGGACTTAGAAATTGACACAAATGGGTTGCAATATGTGAATGTATATACACTGATTTACATTCAATCGTTTCCGTTTTTACTCTAATTCGAAATCAGTCATGTTCTGTGAAATACGCCAGAAGTCTCAATCGAATGGCAATCTTTAGCGTCTGGTTATTCCAGTCTACACCGATATTTTTTATTGTGCATGCTCTCCAGATAAAAATATGACGTCACCGTTTGACATGACTTGTGGAATATGTCTAGCCTCGTTCTTCAAGTCCCTTGTTACAAATGGCGATGAAACGCATTATGGTACACGATTCGTGTACCAATGGTAAAATGTTTATTTTGTCTTAAATATTTGATCAATGTTGATTTAAATTGACAAATAATTCGTGTTTTCAATATCGAAGACTCTGGGTGATTACCTTGTATTACCAGGTGGTATTATTTCAATTTAACGTTAACTTACCTTGAAATACCTGGATAGTATGATAGTATTATTTCAATATTACGTCAACTTACCTTGAATGCACATGGAGTATGGATAAGATAAAGATCAACAAAGTCTAACTGTAGGTTTTTTAATGACTCGTTTAAACCTTCGAGAACACGATCTTGTTGGTGGAATGTTATCCACAACTGCAACAAAATAAAAGGAATAAGTGACCACCTTATGACGAAAGAATCGTGAAAAAAGTTGTGGAAATCCAAATTATTAAGTAAGGAAATATAGTCAATACAAGCGACCTCCTGTATTGGTCCAAACTATTAGTTGAGGAAATACAATGAACATAGCTGCTGTTGTTTTCAAGAAATACAGGTTTTGTTAGATCGTGTGCCTAGAACGCCCATATCGTGGTGTTACAACCTCGTAGGTTTTCTCTGGGTTCTCCGGTTCCCTCCCACTGCTAAAGACCCCTATGCGCAAGCAGATTTTTGAAATAAAATTGAACCATATGTAAGTCACGAAATGACCTAGTTTTTTTCGAGTGGACTTTAAACCCTATGATATTATAATGTTAAAAATTAATTATTTGTTTTAGTGAAAGTAGTTTTATACTTTTTCAAATAATCTAAATGCGAAATCAACAGTATGTCATGCATAAATTACCTTTGTAGTTATAAAAAAATCTTCTCTTTTAAGTTTGCCGGCCTTCATATATTCCTGGAGCACCTCTCCGATATCAGCCTCGTTTCGGTATGCGTATGCTGTATCAATATGGCGATACCCAGCATCGAGTGCTGCCCTGACAGCGGTCTGACATTCTTCTTTAGACGACTGAAATTAAAAAAAAATACATATGATAGCCTCTGTTCAAGAAGTACCTGCATGGTTTGGCTGGGTTACAATCATGTGCCTTAACCCTCGTGACCATAGGGAAATCTGTAGATGTGCTCGTGAAACAGATCTAGCCCTGCGTATATAGATAATATTGCTATATTTCAAATATTTCATTTCTAAAATGTTGATAGTGACATGTCTGGCACATATTATCGTTATCAGAATGCTGAAGCAAATGTTTCAGGAAAACATATGGCATGGAGTCCATCATCTTCAATAGAAGGCTTGATCTCGCTTAAACTCGCAGTCGTTGCTTCAGGAGGAACATGTGAGTCCATGGGGAAATGATTACCTGTATGAATCAAGAGTTCATCGTACATAAATGAAATGAAATGAATCGGGGTTAATGTCCTACTGTTCTGCTCCGACTGGGCAAATCAAGACGGGAATATACCATACAGTGTGCTGTGAGAACAAATTTGCCGGACAACGGCACTATACGGTCTTGTCTTATATAGAATGCTAATTGTCAAGATTTCTTTTACATGTACGCCAATATGAATACGTGCCCTTGGTTTCCACACGAACGACTAGAGGTTGCCCTGCACTATTGACAGGAGGCAACCAAGCCGGAAATTCCGATGAAATTTTTCGCCAACGCAGGGATCAAGCATGGGGAATTCAGGTTAGCGAGTCTCTCACTGAACCATCGAAGCTTCCTAATCACATAATAAAGGTCAACTGCACGTTGCAGACATAGCTATTTTTTCTTTCCGGCTAGAATACAACTAGAGAAAGGTCTCTGCTCCTGAAGAATTCAGGCGTACACGGTTGTAGTATAGCACAATGAAGGTAAAGAATTACCTGCCAAGTTCCAAGTCCAAGAATCGGAAATTTTCTTCCATTGTTCAACACAATCATTCTAACAGCTGCAGCCATCTTGGTTATTTAAATAGATTTATCTAAAATTCCCAATGAAAAACATACATTTGGACTAAACATGGTTGACAGCATATCGGGTAGGGAATACATGCTTTAAAGTAAATTAAATGAAATGAAATGCTTAACGTCCTTGTGTTCTGTTGCCCGGGCAGCGGCAGTATGGTCTACTCTTACATCGAATCCCATCTGCCAGGGAATCTTTTCCGTGCACTCCAATGTATACACGGGACCCCGGTTTTTCGTACCATCAGAACGACTAGACAGCTGTCCTTGTCAGGCCCTCTGTCCTGCACCACTGACAAGGGGAAACCACGTCGGAAAATCTCGATGAACTTTCTCGGCCAATGCGGGGATCGAACACGCGCCCCCACAGGCGAGCAAGTCAGCGTCTTACTCACTTAGCCACCGTGGCTTAATGCTTTAAAGTGACAATATGCACTAATCACCCAGAAACCAATAACGTTGGATTGCTACTTTAATAACGGTGATTGTTTGTTTAGACTATTATCCTACTTGATAGTTGAAACCGGCCTACTCTTATATCGAATTCCAACTGCCAAGGGATCCTTTACGTACACGCCAATATGTACACGGGACCTCTGTTTTTCTTCCCATCCGAACGACTAGACAGCTGTCCTTGTCCGGTCCTCCGACCAACATCACTGACAAGGGGAAACCACGCCGGAAAATCTGGATGAACTTTCTCGGCCAATGCAGGGACCGAACACCAGACCTCCAGGCTAGCGAGCCATGGTATCTTTGAAAGGATTATACAGGTAGTCTAAATAAGTACGTGGACATAGTAACTAGATACTATGATATTTTACTACTAAATCGCTACGATAACCTGCCTGTACATGTATATGGCATAGATTAGGAGGCGTGAGGACAAATAGCTCGTATTACCCAGGGTACAAAATATCGGCCGTATTGCAATTTCAACAACAGGGTTGAGTGGGGCACCATGACTAACTCATTGTGAATAAAACCCAGCAAAGCCTAGAAAACTCATATTGCTATCTGAATGTGCGAATATTTTGAGTGGGGCACCATGGCTAACATAATGTTAATAAAACCCTGCAACGCCTAGAAAACCCATATTGCTATCTGAATGAACGTCATAAATCGTTTAATCAGACAACAAGTGTCACTTTACGATCATATATTAGAAATAATCTGACTACTTGTGACTATAGAAGTCCCAGGGCAAATAATATTCACTACCAATAAGCTATCAAGACAATAAAATCCGTTAATATACCCGTTGGGTAAGCCATATTGAAAATTTTATAGAAAACATAATTCTAAAAATCTCAAAATGTTCTTCCAGACTGACGGTGGAATTTGAAGCCGAGATAATCTAGATGTACAGTGCCAAACTGTTTTACAACAGAGATTCGAACGGAATCAGTTGGTTGGCAAATAGGTGCTGAAAAATCATTTGGGTGTGTCCAACGTTAAAGTGTTCCATGCTGGCGATTCGTAAGCTTTCTACTAAGCACAATTGTTGCCGAATCAATGAGTTGGATGACACATGGGTTCTGAAACCACTTGAATTAACGGCAAGGACACAGTGGGGATTCAGTCGCTTTCCACTAAGCACAGTTGTTAGGGAATTAATCAGTTGAATAGCACATGGGGTTCTTGTGGAATCAGTTAGATGGTACATGAGTGCTGAAATCCATTTGAATTGGTTGTTGTTGTTGTTCTTAGTGTTTAACGTCCGCTTCCACCGAAGGTGATATCGCAGACAAGGTTTTTTTTTTTCATTAACTTAGCGCACGAGGTTGAGAAGGCGCCCCTTTCTCCAAGCCACATACGCTCACACGAAGGATCGAAACCACAGCCGCAAGCCAGAGGTGACCGGCCAGCTAGAGGTCGAAGCGCGGCACTCTAGACCACTAGGCCCTTTATAATGAAAGCATGTACAAGACTTACTTACCTTTGACTTCTCATTCAAACCCTGCTCCCCGTGTATTGTACGTTATTTATATAGGTCTAGATTTATTTAATGTAAATAAATGATATGGCGTTATCAGTAAATATATTGACACTACAATAGATCCTCCACTTGTAGTCAAACATTCTCATCGATACAACCTAGCTATGGTAAACCTATCTATATGACTAGACAAAAAAAAACAACTGACCTTTGTGTTGTTACATCTGACGAAATGGATCATTATACACACACCTTTAGTTTTTTGGGGAGCCGATACAAGTCGAATCGAGATCAATTCTATCATCTATCGAAGGAACAAGAAGAGTTAGCTATGGGAAACCTATCTATGACTAGACAAAAATATACACCCGACCTTTGCAGTGTCACATCCTGACGAAATGGATGTTTCGGGGTGCCAATACAGGTCGCATCGAAATCAATTTTATTATCTATGGAAGCAAAACGAAGACTGATGAATGACTGGACAAAAAGAACCTAGCTATGGTAAACCAATGTATAACTAGATACACATGACCTTTGCATTGTCACATCCTGATGAAATGGATCATTATACTCACTCCCTTAGTTTTTTGGGAAGCCGATACAGGTCGAATCGAGATCAATTCTCTCATCTATGGAAGGAAAACGAAGACAAACCAATTTATGACTAGACAAAAATATACAATTGACCTTTGTATTGCCATACCATGACGAAATTGTTCCTCACACACCTTTAGTTTTTTGTAGATTTTGGGGTGACAATACAGGTCGCATTGCGATCGAATTTGACCATTCATTGAAGGAAAACGAAGACTGATTAATGACTGGACAAAAATAATATGCAATTGACCTTTGTATTGTCACATTTGAGGTTTATGGCCGAATGGTTAACGCGTGCACGTTGTATCATAAGGTCTGTCATTGAGTCATCTGGCGTGGTTTCGATTCTCCGGTTGTACGTGTCAAGGAGTAGGGTCGCCTGTTCAACCTGTGGGATTGAATTCGACAATCTACTGAAGCATGCCGAAGACTATATAATTGGTTACAGTCAAATTCATTCATATTTACTTTACTACACTCGTACAGATATTTATTTATTTTATAAAATTAGAAAGTTCAAAGTATCCCTTTAATCGAAGAGTTATATATTCAGTTTCTATGGGTTTTGATGGGTCAGTTGTGACAAACATCCTTCTTGTCAGACGTGGCTCTAGCTAGTTTCGATCCCTGGTAGAGCGTATGCGGCATGGAGATAGGGGTGCCTTTTCAACCTCGTGGATAGTAACACTATATCTTAGTGATAACAGTAGATCAGTTTCGTACAAAAAGAGTTTATTTACATCGGAACAGAATATAACACATCTACATAATTACAACAAATATGCAGGAACTTGAACTATACAGGAACTAGACTATGACAGGAACACATATAACTATATTAAATACCTCATTCCGCCCCTCTGCCAAGGCAGCGACTGAACTTGGGTGAGTCCATTCACTCATCCAAGCCTCCCCCCCCACTTGTCTCAGGTCGTCTCGTATCTGTATCCCTCCTCCGTTCTGCTCGTCTGTCTAACTATCAGTAAACTCCTGATTATATAGCGCCGGAGAATAGATAAGACGCATGATCATACATGTAATTGTCTCTTTATCACGTCATGTTATGCTTACTGACCAGTGCATATTCTTTTGAAGTCATGTGGAGCTTGTACACAGAGCACATGTAGTTTGTAAATGACATATGGGATTAATTAAATGATTAATTAGATCATCGCCAGTCCGTGCCGTAAGAGAAGTATATAAGAGTTGAAAAGTCAATATAATATATTATCAAAAAGCAGCTTAGTTCAATAAGTTATATGCACCTAAATGATCGTTCGGTTTGATGAAAGTTATAGAGTACTTTGTCACAGGGTTTACTCCGGGTACTCCAGTTTCCTCCCACAGGAAAAACACAGCGCGTGCGCTAATATAAGAAAAAACATGACACCATGTCTGCGAAACCTCCCTCGGTAGAAACGGACGTTAAACACCACGAACAACAACAACAAGCGGACGTTAAACCATAACAAATAACGGAGAACGAAGGATGGTGAGCAACAACAACAACAACAACAAGCGGACGTTAAACCATATCAAAGAACGGAGAACGAAGGATGGTGAGCAGGCATTGTATTGGAAACTCTCCGTCATATTACGTCAACTCCCTTCGCGATTGTATGAGACGATTTCAACATATATTGGGCGGTTTGTTAGTAGAAATGGTTAGGACCTTCAGAATGTCCGAACACATGTGTAGACCATGCTATAGCGTGAATTTAACATTGAAAACACTTCGGCGAAAAACGATGGCGAGCTTCCATCGTAGATGAATGGAGTTGCCTCCCTTCAGTAGATACATTTCTCTGGCCCAAATCGGAATAATTACATCGCCCTAAATACTGCGTCTACGAATAATCTGTTGCATTTATTTATGGTTTCATAATGTAGATGCCATAAAATAGTTTATGAAGGCACGAATTAATGGAGTAGTTTCCATTACCAGCTTGTCCATAAAAAGGAGTAGGGTCGATTGTCCAACCACGGAAATTTTATCCGGTCTTCCGTTTCCCCCAACTGCTACGGACCGCTAACTATAAGCGAATTATAGAAATAAAATTTCGGACTAAAATACGATTTTTTTTCTATTTAGATTACTTTCTTTAATATATTGGTCTGGTCTGGGGCGGGGTCTGGCAAGGAAAGTGTGTAGTCGTTCGAATGGGACGAAAAACCGATGTCCCGTGTGTACGTTAGCGTGTACGTAAAAGACAACCCTGACAGTTGGGGGAGAGAGAGAAATGGGGTTTAACGTCCACTCAACACAAACTAGGTTATTTCGGGACTAACATATGGTTTAATTTTATTTCAATAATTCGCTAACGTAGGGGTCTTTAGCAGTGGGAGGAAACAGGAGGACCCGGAGAAAACCCACGAGGTTGGACAGTCGACCTACTCCTTGTCACGTACAACCGGGGATTCGAAAACACGCCAGTTGACACAATGACAGGTCTTATAATACAGCACGCACGTGTT